AAAAGTTAAAAACACACAAACCGCCAGCTGGAAGAGTTTCTGCAGTAGACAGGAGAAGGAAACAATGTGGGACGGGATATACAGGGTAATAGGCCGAACAACTCAAAGACAAGAGGACGTCCCCCTTGTGTGGGAAGGAAAGACCTTGGGAAACGTAGATTCAGCAAGAGTTCTAGCGGAGACTTTCTATCCGGAGGATAAAGACCAGGATGACGACGCGGAACACAGGCTAATAAGAAAAACAGCAGAAGAAGTGAACGAAGGGTCACTTGATGATTCAAATGATCCACCCTTTACAGAGGAAGAGCTTCTGTGGGCCGCGTCCAGCTTTAATCCTAGGAAAGCTCCAGGAAACGATGGTCTCACAGCTGATATCTGCGCAGCGGCCATAAATTTGAACCCGACACTATTCTTGGCAGTAGCCAACAAATGTCTAGAACTTGCACATTTCCCCCGGTAAATGGAAGGAGGCGGCGGTAGTGGTACTACGAAAACCTGGTAAAGAGGACTACACGCACCCTAAATCTTACAGGCCGATTGGGCTTTTGCCTGTATTAGGGAAAATATTTGAAAAAATGACCATAAGACGAATCAAGTGGCACATCGTACCTAAGATAAGTAAAAACCAGTACGGCTTCATGCCGCAGCGTAGCACCGAAGACTCCCTCTATGACATGATGCAGCATATAAGGGCTAAGATTAAATATAAAAAACTGGTTTTACTGGTATCACTTGACATAGAGGGAGCCTTTGACAACGCTTGGTGGCCTGCTGTACGATGTGCACTTGCAAAGACCGGATGCCCGATAAACTTGAGGCGGCTGATTGACAGCTATATTGAGGATAGGTCGGTTTGCGTCAAATATTCCGGGGCAGAATGGGTCAAGAAGACCACAAAAGGGTGCGTGCAGGGCTCAATAGGCGGTCCAATTTTTTGGAACCTATTACTCGATCCACTACTGCAAGAGTTGAACGATAAAGGGGAACACTGTCAGGCATTCGCAGATGATGTGGTCCTGATATTCTCTGGAGATAAAGCACTGGAAGTGCAGGAACGGGCCAATACGGCCCTCGCACATGTTCGGAGGTGGGGAGTCAAAAACAAGCTCAAATTTGCTTCACAAAAAACAAAAGCCATGATCATTACGAACAAGATCAAATATGACTCACCACTTCTGAAGATGGGCGGGGAAAGCATAGGCCTGTCCAAAGAAATAAAAATACTCGGCCTCACAGTTGACGATGGGCTGACCTTCAACGCGCATGTCAAAAACGTGTGTTGTAGGGTACAGAACCTATATCGTCAGCTATGTAGGGCCGCAAAGATTCATTGGGGTTTGAACTCCGAGATTATCAGGACCATATACATAGCGGTAGTAGAGCCTATTATTTTGTATGCGGCAAGCGCATGGGCATCAGCAGCGAATAAAATAATGACCAAAAAGCAACTTGATATGGTGCAACGTGGGTTCGTACAAAAAATAGTTAGATCGTATAAAACCGTTTCTTTACACTCGGCTCTGCTACTCGCCGGGCTGCTTCCTCTGGAATTGAGGGTCCGGGAAGCAGCCTCGCTTTATGAAGTAAAGAAAGGCTTCTCCCGACGAGTATTAGAAGATCGAGACATGGAGAAAAAGGTGGAATACGCAATGATACCACACCCAGCAGACGAATATGGCCTGCAATATATATGTCTGGAGGACGGTGCACAAATGGACCAACATGACAATAAAGGCCTCAAAATATACACCGACGGCAGTAAAATTGAGGTGAAAGTCGGCGCTGCATTATCCATTTGGAATGATGCAACGGAGACAAGTACCCGGAAATTAAAGTTGGGAAATTTCTGCACCGTCTTCCAGGCGGAGTTGCTCGCTATTCGAGAAGCATCCACGTATGCGCTAACACATCCTGCGCTTAATTGTCACATATACAGTGACTCTATGTCTGCTCTCCAGACAATTGTACAAAGTGATTCCCTCCATCCCCTAGCGGCAGACACTAGAAAAATCATACGTGAAATGAAAAAGCAAGGGAAAACCCTTAAACTCTTTTGGATAAAGGCTCACGCAGGATTGGAGGGGAACGAGAGAGCAGACAAATTAGCCAAAGAAGCCGCACTAAAAATAAAAACAAGACCGATGTATGAGAAATGTCCAGTTTCATTCGTTAAGCGACAGATTCGTCTGAGCTCGCTTGACGAATGGAACCAAAGATATATTAAAGGTGAAACAGCCTCCAATACGAAAATATTCTTTCCCGACGTCATTAATGCCTACCATGTTATTAGAAAATTAGAAATAAATCCAGAAATTGTACAAGTGATAACAGGACATGGCGGGTTCTCCGAATATTTACACCGATTTAAATGCAAGGAGAGCCCGGCATGTGCCTGTGATCCAGAAAGAGAGGAGACGGTCGTACATCTTATAACCGAATGCCCTATTTATAGTAGAGAAAGAATAGACTTAGAATTAGAAATAGGAATTAAAGTAAGCAAAGATAATGTAAATAAAATAATTAGTGATAAACATGTTAGTAATAGGTTTCTAAAGTATTGTAAGAATATAGCACATAAGGTGAAAAATAAGAATAAATCGTAGTAGCAATAAGGAACTGTAACATAATATATATAAATATATAATGAAAACAGCCCACATAAAACGAGTAGAAATAAGAAATAGCTATAGAAACTATTGCAACTAGAATTAATTAGATAAGGAAAAAAGGAAAAGAAACGTATCCTTAAAAGAAATAAAGAAAACAGAAATAAAAATAAAAAAGAATAAAAAACACAAAAAAGAATAAGAATGTAAAATAAAAAATAAGAAAACAAAGAACATAAAAGATGAAAAAAGTCCCTGAGTTCCACATGTCAGGGGAACTAGCTGTTTAAAAAAAAAAAAAACCTAACCTAACCTAACCTAACCTAACCTAACCTAACCTAACCTAACCTTTTTTTTTTTTTTTTAACATGGGGAAATGCCTACGTATACCCGCCTCGCGGGGGCAAGGACGGGTTATGTCGGACTCGCACCGACTAAAACCCCATGGTGTTCCACCTTCGTCGCATATTGGCAGAGCTACGGGAACGCTTTCGCACACATCCGCGGCCCCACCAGCGACTGCCGCCCCATGGCAGCACCTCATCGGGAGAGGAATGTTCCTCCCCGTTCTCCTTCCCAAGTAAGGCGCACCAGAACACATGGCACGCCTTCCTCCACGACCTCCAATTACATCTGTGCAACAGACGCCCCCGCGTCTGATGCGCGAAGGCCATGGGGCCAGGAAAAACGAGCACTTAGAAGTACTAGCCTTCTCGACCCCAGCGGCGGATCTGGTCTATGGCTCCGCCGCCAACCAAGATTCGGCTGCGGAGGATAGGGAGAGCGGCGCCTCGCAATACCGACAATCCTCTCCCCCCGCAGCCCCATCACCACCGCATCAACGGTGCGGCCCCGTTTGAGTCGCGGAGGATAGGGCGAGTGGCGCATCGCCATACCAACACTCCTCTTCCTCCGCGACTCCACCTCGGCTGCAGCGGTAGGTGGGGAGGACACACCTCTCACCGCAGTCCACCAACACACATCCGAAGTGGGCTTCCCAAGCCCACTCGGAGTGGCCACCTCGGGCCGGCCCTCCACCTCGGACCAGCCATATGGGTTCCTCTTTGTTTCGCCGTGGGTGACCAAGCCACGGCTTCTAAGCCCCCCGCCACGACAAGGCGGGAACCCGTTCGGGGGGGGAACCTAACCTAACCTAACCTAACCTAACCTAACCTAACCTAACCTAACCTAACCTAACCTAACCTAACCTAACCTAACCCCCCTTCCGTCGTCAGACGCACTCTGAGGTGAACGTGCTACATGTTGGTCGAGTGCCGCTCCGCCCGATTTTGTGTTTCAAAAATCGAAAAAAGTGGTTTTTTTGTGCTCCGATTTTTGCAATTTAAGCACCAAAAGTTGCGGGAATAGTTGCCCCAGCTAGTGACAGTTTCTGTTTTTCGCGCTGAGCGCGTTAAGTGTGAATAAAAACGGTGCAAAGTGCAAATTTAAAATTTTAAAAACTTTGAGCGTGAACGCTGCCTAAACGCGATCTGTGACCCATAGATATTTTTATATCTGCAGACGGGGCTCGCTGAGCTCTTTCTTGTGACACCTCGGCCGGATTTTTCCGGTGGAAACTCACGGAGTTATTAAAGAAAAACCGGGAACCACGTGGACACGTGGTCCTGGATCCAGTGGCCCCAGGGCAGCGCGAGGCGGCTCATTCGACGCGACACGACGCGGCGAGTTCAACGCCGTATCAAGCATAATTTTAAGGTTAGTGGTTGCGGAGTTATTAAAATTTTTAAAATTTTCAAAATTCAAAAATTTTTTATCTCGAAATAAAGATCGACGACACCCCCATATTTTTGGTAGGGCTCATTAAGCTCTACCAATGTTATAAATTTCATAATTTTCGGCTGAATACTTTTCGAGTTATGATTTTTTAAAGTTTAAGGGTTGACACGTGGGGGTGTAAATAACAATTTGATCACTTCGCAACCTATTGTAAAAATTAGACTAAGTAGTGTATAAGTATAATCTTAGCTTTTTTAGAATAAATTTTTATTTAAAATTTTCGAGTTTTTGCCAATTTTGTGGTAAATTTATATGTTTTTTGCACCCCAAAAATCGGGGTTGAAATATTTTTTGTAAATAATTGTAGATTTAGATTTTAGATTAAAAGACGAATCAAACGAGCCCAAGCTCGATAGGATACGATAAATAGGAACGGATTTAGTAGAAATCCTCAAAATTGGCAGCCATATTGGCGGCCATTTTGATTTCATAAAAAGCTGAATAACTTTTGATCAAGACGTCTTAGAAAGACGCGGTTTCTTGTACACGCTTAGTTGTGGTGAGCTCTACAATTTGTGATAGTTTGTGGCTCTGGATAGAGTCGACCTCCAGATTGCCAAAAATTTGGCAGGTTTCAAATAGAGGGCAAAACGCCCGTTACGGGAAGCCGTCGCTCGTGTTTCTGCGATCAGCGGTTCTCGAGATATAATTTTTTGATTTTCGGTCTAGACTGAAACCAGATAACCGGCCGCCATCTTGGAAATCTTTAAGGCGTGATATCTCGGAAACCGCTGGTCGTAGAGCGACGCGGTTTTTTCCGTTGACTTTCCCTTGGAAAGCGCTATCGACTGGTGTTAACTGGGCGACTCTATCTAGAGTCACTGTAGAGTTCCACCGTAGAGTCGCGGCGGAAGACATTTTAGATAGTTTTTAAGTAGTTTTAGGTTGAGTAAGGGCCGTAGGATTCTACGGCACTTGATTTTGACGGAACACTCTCTATTTTTACCCTATACAACCCGCTTTTGCGGTAATTTTATTATTGACATTTTTAGTAAAAATTTTGACTATTATTTCGACATTTTATTTTAATTTTATATTTTTATTAATTGTTGACGCGACCTCCCTGAAAAATGGTTTTGGGACTCCGGACACCGGTCAAGCGGCCGGAAAAAGCGAACCCACCTTCAACTCCCCCCAAGATCGTGAAAAAGCTGCCAAGACAGAGTATGGAGAAGTGGGAGGGGGCGGTTCCCGGGTCGGCTTGTACGGCTGAACCGGGCGCTCCCTCCACCTCTAAGCGCAAGACGTTAACCCCTGAGCGGGTAGAGAGTCCGAAGGGGGTGGGGGTGGCTCCCGAGTCGGCTTATACGGCTGGACCGGGCGCCCCCTCCACCTCTAAGGAAAAGACGCCGACCCCAAAGCGGGCTGAGAGTCCGAAGGGGGGGGTTGAAGTGCTGGTTCACTCACCAGTGGCGACCACCGGGCAGACCAGATTGCAGCGGGCCAAGCACCATTATTTAAAGGCGAAACAGGCAGTGGACTCGTCCAGGAACCTCAGGAGGGATATCAAAGAGACCATCCTGGGGTCCCTGGACGAGCTCAAGAAACTGATTATTGAGTCCGAAGCCGACCTGAAAGCCGAGAGGGCTCGTAAGGGTCCGTGAAGGGGGTGTCGACGACTAAGGACGCCGACACCACATTTACGGTGCCCACGGACTCCGGACTGAGCACCAAACTCGACGAGCACTCTCGGCTTCTCCTGGAGAGTAATGAGCGGATGAAGGCTCTCCAGGAGCAGCTCACTAGATGCAGCAGGTCGGCCGAGGACCAACAGCGTAGTTACGCCTGCGTGGCTGCTGTGAGGCTGCAGCAGCCAGCGAGACCCGCGGCTCTCCACTCGGTGGTTGTCACCTCCAAGGACGAAGAGGACACAGGAGAGGAGGTCCTTGGAAAGGTGAGGAAAACCCTAAACGCGAAGGAGGGATGGGTTAAAGTCGACCGGGTCCGGAAGGCCAAAGACCGCAAGGTCGTCATGGGCTTTAGCACTGCCGAGGACCGGAGAAAGGCCAAGGAGAGATTGGCGAAGGAAGGGTCGGGCCTCAACGTCGAGGACGTCAAAAATAGGGACCCGCTTCTGATCCTTAGAGGTGTCCTAACAATCAACACCGATGGTGACATTTTAAAGGCCCTAAGGAACCAGAATCGGGAACTCTTTGACGGCCTCGGCCCTGGGGATGACCGACTCGAGGTAAGGTATCGCAGAGGGGCTAGGAACCCGCACGTGGCCAACGTGGTACTGAGTGCGTCGCCCACCCTCTGGGCGAGGATAACCGGCGTGGGCTCGGTCCACATCGACCTCCAGAGGGTGCGAGCGGAGGACCAGTCGCCACTGGTCCAATGCACGCGATGCCTCGGCTATGGTCACGGGCGGAAGTACTGTAAACACCCAGCAGACCTATGTAGCCACTGTGGCGGGCCGCACTTGCGCACTGAATGCGCGGATTGGCTGGCGGGGTCCCCACCTTCCTGCCGGAACTGTTGTCGCGCGAAGTTTGACAATGTTGATCATAACGCATTTAGCGACAGCTGTCCCGTTAGGAAGAGGTGGGATGGCCTCGCCCGGCAATCCGTAGCGTATTGCTAAGAGCGTGCCGGCGAACGCAGTGGTTCTTAAAGTCCTCCAGACGAACCTCCAGCGCAGTAAGTTGGCACACTCCGAGCTGCTGATCGAAGCCTCTAACCGGCGTGCGCGGTTTGCTCTGGTGCAGGAGCCATACGTCGGCGGAACAGGGCGTGTGAAGAGTCAGAATGGGATCAGAGTCTTCCAGTGTGCGGACCATGGAAGTGGGACTGTAAAGGCCGCGATCATAGTTTTTGACGCGGACCTTCACATAACACAGTACCCGAAACTCACCACGACCAACATCGCAGTGGTGGGGATCCGAGTCCACAACTGGGAGATCATCCTGGTTTCATTTTACTTTGAGCCCGACCTGCCGATGGACTCGTACCTAGCACACCTGCGCCGGGTGCAGCGCGAGACAGGAGCTCGGAGTGTTATAATTGGGGGCGACTCCAATGCCAAGAGCGTCTGGTGGGGGAGTCCCGTGACAGATCGCCGCGGCGAGGAACTGCACGGCTCACTGGAGGACCTCGGGCTCTGCATCCTGAACCGAGGGGAAACCCCTACATTTGACACTATCCGGGGCGGCGTAAGGTACAGCAGTTATGTTGATATAACTGCCGCATCGCCGGACCTGTATGGCTTGGTGGACGACTGGCGCGTGCGCGAGGACCTGACCAGCTCGGACCACAATGGCATATCCTACACAATAACGACAAGGCACATCAACAAGAATTTCATCAAGCACACCACAAGAATATATTACACTAAACACGCGAATTGGGCCCAGTTTCGTGAGAAACTGGGTCAAATTATCAATAGAGAAAACTTTACATTAGATTATATTAAAAATTTAACACACGGTTCACAATTAGATAACACAATCACAAAATACAACACATTAATAGCCGAAGCATGTGCCTCGTCTATTCCGCCAATCAAGCGCAAGGATGTGTTGAATATGCCATGGTGGAACGAGGGGTTGGCAGCGCTAAAGCGTGAGGTGGCCACCAAGAGATGCAGGATTCGGTGTGCAGCGCCGGTTAGGCGTCGGAAGGTAGTTGGGGAGTACCTCGAGGCGAAGGAGCGCTACGAGTCCGAGGTAAGGCAAGCGCAGACGCGCAGCTGGGTCTCCTTCTGCGAACGCCAAGACGGGGATTCGGTTTGGGGGGGTATCTACCGGGTCCTCGGCAGAACCTCCAGGAGAGACGAAGACCCACCGCTGGTGGTAGACAGTATGAAGCTAGACGCCAAGGGCTCGGTGAGGCATATGGCGAAACCTTTTACCCGGAGGACTCCGAGGGGGATGACTCCGAGGAGCACCGAAGGGTGAGGGTACAAGCTGAGCTCTTTGACGTTGAAACTTCTCCGGAATTGACGGACCCGCCTTTCACTCCTTTGGAGTTGAAACTGGCCTGCCGGTCCTTCAATCCGAAGAAGGCTCCAGGAGCGGACGGTTTTACCGCCGATATATGTTTGCACGCGATAGAATTTGACCCCGAACTCTCACTCGCTCTTTTCAACAGGTGCCTCGAACTCCGGCATTTTCCCGAGCCCTGGAAGGAGGCCAAGGTAATCTTCCTCCGCAAGCCGGGGAAGATTACTTATACGACACCACGGTCGTATCGGCCGATCGGTCTCCTTCCGGTGCTGGGGAAGGTGCTGGAGAAAATGCTTGTAACCAGATTAAAATATCATATAGCGCCCAGGCTCAGCACCCGCCAGTTTGGCTTTATGCCCCAGCGGAGCACCGAGGACGCCCTCTATACACTAGTTGAGCACATCAGATTAGGTTTAAAAAACAAAAAGTTGATGACGCTTGTGTCACTGGATATAGAGGGCGCCTTCGACAACGCTTGGTGGCCACGCATCAAAGTCAGACTGGCGGAGGAACGAGTGCCGTTTAACATCAGGAGGCTCCTGGGCAGCTATCTGAGCGGCAGGCATGTTCGCGCACGGTACTGCGGGGAGGAGCACGTGAGAAAAACCGGGAAGGGTTGCGTGCAGGGGTCTATCGGTGGGCCGATTTTGTGGAACCTCTTGTTGGATCCACTGCTTCGCGAGCTGGAGGCTAGACATCACTATGTGCAGGCATTCGCTGACGATGTGGTGCTGGTCTTTGAAGGTGAGACGGCCCATGAGGTCGAAAGCCATGCTAATGCCGCCCTCGAGCATGTGAGGGAGTGGGGAGTCCAGAACAAACTGAGGTTTGCGCCGCACAAGACCAGTGCCATGGTCATCACGCGCAAGCTGAAGTATGACACCCCACGCCTCCACATGGGCGGGGTCGACATTGGCATGGTCGGAGAACTCAGGTTACTGGGAGTCGTCCTGGACCAGCGCCTGACCTTCAACACGCACGTCGCGAATGTGTGTAAGAAGGCCGTAGCCTTCTACGCCCAGCTTTCGAGAGCCGCGAAGGCGAGCTGGGGCCTCCACCCCGAAGTTATCCGCGCTATCTACAGAGCGGTGGTTGAGCCCGTGATACTGTATGCGGCTGCCGTTTGGGTGCCGGCTGTTGATAAGCTCGGTGTTCGAAAGCAGCTGAACGTGGTCCAGCGGGGCTTTGCGCAGAAGCTGTGTAGGGCATACCGCACCACCTCCCTGAACTCAGCACTGTTGCTCGCTGGGATACTCCCCCTTGACCTGCGCGTCCGCGAAGCCGCGGCGCTGTATGGTGCGAGGAGGGGTATACCCCAGGACGCGATAGGAGATCGGGAGGTGGAACGGATGTCCTCGGCTCTGCGGTCTCCGCATCCCGCTCAGCATATCGACCTGGAGTTCAAGTGCCTGGCGGGAGAGGAACAACTCGCGGTAAATATTGACCACGAACTTAATATCTACACGGACGGCAGTAAGATTGAGGGCAAGGTGGGTGCGGCGTTATCCATATGGAGTGGCGCCGCCGAAACCAAAACCCTCAAGCTTACTTTGCCGTCCTTTTGCACCGTCTACCAGGCGGAACTCCTGGCGATATGCAGGGCGGCGCGGACGGCCGCAGATAACTCGGCCAGATCAATCGGAATTTATTCTGACTCTCTGTCGGCACTGCAGACAATGATAAATCCAGTTGCCCTCCACCCCCTGGCCGTCGAGGCGCGGGGCCACCTGCACAGGGCTTCGATACAGGACAAACTTGTTAATTTGTTCTGGATCAAAGCCCACGCGGGACTAGAGGGGAATGAGCGTGCCGACCATCTGGCCAAGGAAGCTGCGCTAAAGTCTAAACGCAGTTTTGACTATGACAGCTGCCCGGTTTCATTCATCAGGCGAAGCATTCGTATGCGATCGCTTGATGAGTGGAACCAACGATACCGGGCCGGTGAAACAGCCGGTGTCACCCGGGTGTTTTTCCCGGACGCGATAGCCGCATACCGTGTCATCGGTAAAATAAAGGTGGACAGATTTGTCACTCAGGTATTGTCGGGGCACGGTGGTTTCTCCGAGTACTTGCATCGTTTCAAGTGTAAGGAGAGTCCATCGTGCGTCTGCGATCCTGCGTGTTCGGAGTCTGTTCTCCACGTCCTCCTGGACTGCCCGGCCCATGACCGTGAGAGGCAGGAGCTGGAGTTCTTACTGGACTGCAAACTGGAAGTAAGTACGCTTCCGGATATTGTACTGGGTAGAAATAGAGACTTGTTCCTCAAATTTTGTAAAAAACTGTGCATTGCTGTAAATAAAAGAAATAGAGTGTAAGTTATGCTAAGTAATTATATTGTTATATAAGTATATTAGCATAAATAAATTGTAATTAGGAACATAGTCTTAAGTTAGCATTAATGATGAATGTAATTAAAGTTTTATTGTTCCCCCCTTCACTGTCCCCGCCCCCCTTTGTGTTCAATTAGAATGTAAGTACACTATGGCCTTCAGCCCATGATTGAAAGATGATGTAAGCGAGATGAAAATGGGATGCTGAATGGCTGACGAGCAGAGTATAAGATATGATGTATGAATGAGTTTTTTGAAGATAAATAAATAAACAAAATAATAAAGACCAATTGTAAAAACAGTCTCCCAAAGTCTCAGGGAGGTCAATAT